GGGGGGGTGACGTCTGTCAGCCTGTCACCTTGTGTGCACCCTTTAATCAAAGTCAAGGCCTCCCGTGTGTGTGTGTGTGCTGGGGGGTGGTAACTCCAGTTGAGCTGTGCTTGAGTGTGAACCATGTAGTGTCTCAGGATGCTCTTGGGGCAGGGGGCAGCCCCGTGGGGTTTGGGGGGCTCTGCCCCCTCCTACAGTGCCCCCTCTCTCCTCGCCCAGACCCCGCTGGGGAGGATCTCGAGTGCCTGATGCGGTGCCTGAAGCAGGGAGGGGTGTCCCTCATCGGGCGGCAGCGGTTCCTGACGCAGGAGCAGTGCCGCAAGTCCTTCATCCGGCGCAACAAGAACCCCCACATCAACGAGAAGGTGCACGCGGTGCGGGCTCTGCAGAGCACGCTCAAGGTGGGGGCCCACAGTGCCCTGACTGCCCCCCCCAAACCCCCCTTCAGATCACGAGCAGCCACCCCAAAACAGGCCCTTCCTCTCGGCAGGCGAAGCTGGTGGAGCTGCAGGCTCTGGAGCAGCTGCTCAGCGACGCTGCGCTCACCTCGGAGAAGTTCAGGCGCTGGAAGGAAGAGCACCAGGAGCTGTACCAGGACCTGCGGGAGTGGGGGGGCTGGCAGCAGGGCCAGGATGGCGATGGGGGGCTCGGGGATGAGCACGGCCCCCCCGAAGAGGCAGCTGAGCCCTGACACCCCACAAGGACCTCTGGCATGAAGCAGTGCCCATAAAGATCACGGTGGGTGCTCTGCTGGGGGGGTGCACGAGGGGATTTGTGACAGTTTTGAAGATTCGGCCCCCACAATGGACTTGCTACAGGAGAAGCAGCTTCTGCTTAATCCCCCCTCCCTGGGTTAGGACGTTGCCGTGACAGTTGCTTTTTTAAGAGCGGTTTGTCTCAGCTGCACGTTGGCAACGGGGGCCTTTTCCCAGAGGAACGTGCCCCCACCACACACACCAGCGCGGTGCCACCAGCCATCCCGGCCAAGGTCTCTTCTGCTGTAAATAAAACTGCGTCAACGCGCCCCGATTGTGCCGTGATTTTTCTTGGTGGTGAAAGGTCCCTGTAGTGACAGCCAGCCCCTACCGTGCCACGTGTCACCATCCTTGAGGGACTGTGACATCCCTCAGTGCCCTGCTCTCCTCTCCCTGTGGGCTGTGCCACAGTGATGGCACCCACCCGTGGGGTGGGGACACAGGGGTGGGCTCCGATGGCACGGGAAGGTGATGAAGCGGGGAAGGTGTCCCGGGGAGGGCTGGGGTGCTCTGGGAGCTTTGGGCAGCTCCCAAGGAGGGGAGCCTGGGGCAGGAGGGGTGAAACGTGGTCGGCCTGGAAATGGCGGAGGGGTCCTGCCCCTCCCTGTGCCACCCGGTCCCCTACAGACGTGCTATGGCTGGCTATGGGGATGCTCTTTATTCAGCTGCAGAGGCTAAAACCTGCCTAAGGATTAAAGCACAATCAAGTAACTCTGTGCCCAGCTTATTTTTGAGTGAAAAATTGCCAGCAAAGGGTTGTGTCTGTTGTGTCTGCGCAGTGTGTCCCGGCGGTCAGGGGCTGGGGTCGCAGAGATGAAGTAACTCTTCTTCCTCACTGCTGCACCTTTCACCTCTGCTCCTTGCACAATCTCCGTAGCCTCCTGGGTTCGGGTCAAACTATAGGGTTGGCTTTAACCAGTTTTTAGGACTGTCTCCCTGTTTTGACAGGAAAAATTACCCTCACTGCCTCTGTCACTCAAGGTTTCTTTATTGTTCTGCTTTCTGGCCCATCACCAGTGATCTATTATCCTATCTAAACTTAGTTATCTTTTAATTAATGGGTCCCTAACCGTGGTCTATCTCCTAAGTCTGACATCTTTCTCTCTAGACTATATCTTTCTCTTTAAGGACCTAATTTCTATATTCTATTTTAATTCTCTCATTCCCCATTTCACTGCTCTCCCCCAGTACCCTCCAGCTGCTCCATGCTGCAGCCACAGGGTCTGCTTCTGGCCGCAGCCTGCTAGGGCTCTATGGTCTCCAGTGAGGCAGCCTAGGCAGGAGGTCCTCCAGCTCTTTATGGTCTCCAGTGAGTGACGTTACTCTACAGAGATTTGCTTAACCCAGCAAATGTGAATGTCTCCTAAAACACTCACTGAATTTTTTTCTTCCTGCAAGTCCTTAAGAATATTTATTTACATGTCCTCTACCAAGTATTTCATTAGTTTGTCATCTAAGCTTGTTTAACACCTGGTTGATGCCCGCTAGCTGATGCCTGCGAGCAGTTGGTGCCTGCAAGTTGAGGCCTGTGGCAATTAGAGATAAGAGAAGCGTTACATTATACCTTAAATTGTCCTGTTGTACCCAGTTGTGTGTCCCTGGAAGTCTACAATATTATCAGAATTACACAATCTAGGTGACACTCCCAAAGAAATCTTACTTGGGAAGTCTCCAAGGGGGAAAATGTTAATCTGTGGGACACAGGGAATATGGTGAGGGGCATGGGGACAGTCTGGGGCATGAGACATGGAACCATCTGGAGTGTGGGCACAGTGTGGGGACATGGAAAACCTGGAGGGACAGGGCGGGGCATGGGGTCCATGGGGACAGTGTGGGGCACAAAGACATAGGGACGGTGTAGGGACACAGGTACCATTGCTGCCACCATGATGGGGACCTCCAGGACCCTTGGGGTGACACGGGTGACCAGACCCAGCCAGGTCTGGCACGAGAGCTTGTTCAGGGGCTTTCCTAAACCCAAGGAGAGGCTCACGCTGGCTCTGACAGGCAGTTTATTGCCACGGAAAAGGGTCATTTCTGCCCCGACTCGCAGCTTGGAGCCCCGCTGCTGTTTGTTCTGGAGGCAGCACATCACCAAAGCGCTGAGGAGTTCAGCACAAAGATGTTGGGCCACCCGTGACATTTTGGCACCGTCCTGAGGCCCTGGGCTGTGCCCCGGCCACCCACCGCCTCTGAGAGGGTGGGATGGGTGAGCCCAGGATGCCCCGCAGGACCTGGTGGTTGGCTCTGCGCTTGGTGCAGGAGCAGCCACCCAGGTGACGTGGGTGCTGAGGGCTCGGGCCCCCACCTTGGCACTTTGCACCCATCCACGCCTGTGAGGTGGTGGCCCTGTCCGAGGGACTGGCAGGAGGTCAAGGGCATCCCTGCCCGTCTTTGGGGGTGATGATGTCACAATGGCCACTGTGACCTGTGGGGACAAGCCTATAAAAAGGATCGCTGAGCTCAGGCTGTGGTCAGTGCGACCTGGGGAGGTGAGGAGAGGGCAGGGGCTTGCAGGGTGCTGCTGAGGGAGGAGAGGGGGTCCCACACCTCGGGGCACTGGGGCTGTGCTGAGAGCTGACCCGCGTCCTGCTTCTCCCTCAGAGTCAGTCAAGGAGCATCTGGGAGAGACACCCCGGTGCTGCTGGGACAGGGACTCTTCTAGCGCTTGTTGTGGATGTGCGCCGTGTCTGCAAGGAAACAGGAGGCCCCCAACACGATGGAGAAGGGTGAGCAAAGTTTCCCTCCTGCAGCACAGCAGAGGGGCTGTCGGGAAGGTCAGCGTGGAGACGAGCGTGGTGGCAGGGGGAGGCAGTGCCTGCGATGCCCCTTCCTCGCCACGAGCGCCCAGCGCTGCCCCTCAGCCCCTCAGGGACGGAGCAGGCCCCTCGGGACAATCCCTTGGGGACGCTTCCCCCGCCCCGCAGAGGTGCTCATTCCCGCCCGCATTTGCTCTCTCCCCTCCAGCGTGCATTCTGTGTGGCCGGGCAGAGGCGGACCTACATCTCTGCGGGATCAAACTGGAGAGGCAAGGGCTCTGTGCCCATGTGTTTTGCATGGTGAGTGGCCGAGGCTCCCTCCAGCTCGCTGACAGGCACTCCCGGCCACACTCTCCTCCTCATCAGCTTCCTTGTCTCTTCTGCAGTTCTTTGCCAACGAGCTTTTTCAGCAGAGGAACAAGCAATTGGGACTCATGGGGTTTCTCCCTGAGGACATTCTCCGTGTAGTCAAGCAGGCAGAGCAGAAGGTGAGGTCCTGACAAGGTCAGGGAGATTTGTGTCAGGAGAAGTTTGGAGGAGCTTAGCCCAGAGCCCAAGAAAGAGACCCCAGCCCCTGCAAGCAGCTCCGGGACAAAAGCCTTTCTCCCAGCAGCTCCACAGAGACTCCAGCCCAGGAGCCTCGTGTGCCGGGCGGATCTGTGGGCTGTGGCCCAGCAGCCGCCACATGCTGCGCCCTGCCCAGAGGTGTGGGGCTGGCTGGGAGGCCCTGAGGCTGCTGCTGACGGGGGGCTGCTCTGCTTTTTTCCAGCGATGCTTTGTCTGCGGAGAGAGCGGGGCGGCCATCACCTGCTGCTGGGAGGGCTGCGACCGCAGCTTCCATCTCCCCTGTGCTGTGGAGGGTGAATGTGTCACCCAGTACCTCCTTCTGTACAGGTACCACCTCTGCCCTCCTCGCCCCCACCAGGGAAGGGGACCCAGGGCTTGCCACCTTACCAATCCCTTCCCTCTTCCCCCCCAGGGCCTTCTGCGGGGAACACAGCCCAAAGCAGGAGGTGGAGGCGGATCCAGAGAAGGACACGGAATGCCTTTTCTGCCTGGATCCTGTGGAGGACAGGAAGTCCTTCCACACAATGGTGTGCCCGACCTGCAAACATGCCTGGTTTCACAGGGGCTGCATCCAGGTAGGAGCCGTTCCCTCACCCCTGGGGCATGGCAGGCACTGGGCAGCACCAGGGCCTTACTCTTGCTCTTCATGTTTCCGCTGCAGAGACAGGCTGAGTGTGCAGGTATTGCCTTCAAGTGCCCCCTCTGCAGAGACAGGGATGACTTTCTGCCGGAAATGCTGTTCCTGGGCATCCGAGTGCCCTTGAGGTTGGTGTCCTGCCCAGCTCACAGCACAGGAGGCTGCAAGCCCTGTGCCATGCCCGGGGCTGCCCCTGCAGTCCTGCCCCTCCACTGTCCCATCAGCCTGGGCTTCAGCTTCATGGAGGAGCCGTAAACCGGGCAGGGGGGAGGAGCAGGGCTGCCCTGCATCGGCCTTATGCCGGGGCAGCAGGGCTCAGCCATTTCCCTTTCCCCATCAGATTGCCATCATGGCACAACCAGGAGGCAGGCAGAGGAGTCGAGAGGCACCGACGCTGCAATGCCCGCGAGTGTCTCTGTCCTGGAGGAAGGGAGCAGGCAGACACGTGGGGGTAAGTTGGCAAAGCGGCACCCTGGGCTCTGCATGGGATCTCTGTCTCGCCAAGAGCTCGAAGCAGAAGGACTGAGACCGGGAGCTGTGCCGCACAACCCCGTTCTGCAGCCACTTTGTCCTCACAGCCGTCAACCCCTTTGCTTCCCCAGGCCTTGGCAACTGCTCCAGTGCAGGTCCTGCGCTGCTGAGGGCACTCACCGGGGCTGCTGCAACTCTGGGACCACTGAGGGCAACTGGGAGTGCGAGAGCTGTGCTGGCCGGGGCACTGGTAAGAGGCAAAACACCTTCATGGCCCTGGGCTGGGGCCAGGGCCCAGGCACGGCCTCAGAGTCGGTGCCCAGGCTGGGCTTGGCAGAGGCTCTCTGCTCCAAGAGGGCTGGGGGCACCGCTCTGGCCTCTCCCGCCCTGAACCTGGGGGCCGTGCCCGTGACCTTCCTGCTTCCCCTTACAGACTCCAGTGACAGCTCAGAGGTCGCTGGCTCCAGCACTGGTAGCCAGTCAGAACTGGGGACATCCCACGAATCACCATCACGAGACACCAGCAGTCCCGAAACCGGTAGCCTCTCAGGATCGGGACCATCCCAGGAGTCGCTGGCATCAGAGACTGGCAGCTCCAGCAGTGGAAGCCCTTCAGGATCAGGGCTGTCCCACGGCTCACCATCACGAGAGACCGGCAGTCCCGAAACCGGTAGCCGCTCAGGATCGGGACCATCCCAGGAGTCGCTGGCATCAGAGACTGGCAGCTCCAGCAGTGGCAGCGACGCAGGGTTCGAGCCAACCCACGGATCCCCGGAGCTGCAGAGCAGCAGCACGGGCAGCGGCAGCCAGGCGGCATCGGGACCATCCCGCGACTCCCCAGTGCTTGAGGGGAGCAGCTCCTCCAGCCCGCCTGGGCCCGTCCGCACACGACATCTCTCCCGTGCGCAGCGTCAGGCCCAGACGCCTTACAGCCGGCCCAGGAGGGGCCAGGGGAGGAGCTGTGTGCCAGGGCCAAGCGCTGAGAGCAGCTCCCCCGGCCAGCCCGCGTCCCACAGCTCCCCAGTACTGGCGAGCAGCAGCCCCAGCACCGCCAGCCAGCTGCCATCGGGGACCTCCTGCCCCTCTGCAGCCCTCGCCAGTGACAGCCGCTCCAGCCCCCCTGGGCCCATGCGGAGGCGAGACTGCTCCCGCCTGGAGCGTCGGGTCGAAACGCCGTACAGCCGGCCCGCCGCACACCGGCGCAGGACCAGCAGTGCGCCATCCGCGCTCGCTGGCCCTGATACCCCTCGACCAGCTCAATAAAGTTAGCAGTTAATCTCATGCTCATTTGTCGGCTTCCTCCTCCTCTCCCTTTCTCCAGGGGCAGAGTTAGGGGCCGGGCCCAGAGGGTTTCTCCCCCCGGGGCCTGGCAGCCCCTTGCCCAGCCCTCCCTCCTCGCAGGCCGGCCATGGCCGCCTGCCCAGCGCCATGGCCTTGTGCTTCGGGCCTTGCTGGGCCCACAGCCGGCTCCGCCTCCCCGGGGAAAGGTCACACCAGTGGCAAAGCTACTTTTCTTTACAAGTTCCTCTCAGTGTCACCTCCGGACTTGTGACATGGAGATTGCTGTAGATTGGCTGTGACAGTAGCCAAAGGCATTCCCGTTGCCCAATTCCGGGTCCTGCTGCCCACCATGATTGCTGCTGTCCCAGCTGCAGCTTCCTCCTTGCATTGTAAGCCAAGAACTCCTTTAGCGCAGAGACTGCAAACTCCTGGCAGGGAATTTACACCACAGAGCTCAGGGACCCAGGGCAGTACCTGTGACTGAGGGCGGGAGTCTCCTCATACCCCTCTGGGAGAAAAAATCCCACCTGTGCTCTACAGGCCTTCCTGAGAGGCCTCGATGCAGCGTGGAAGTTGACTCCTTGCAGGAGGGAGCAGCTGTCCTCTGGGAGGCAGGCAGGGGAACGTGGCAGACCTGAGGGGCTTTTCTGCCAACGAAGAAGGAAAGGAGGTAGAGAAGGGTCCAAAAGAGAGCTTGGTGGCAGCACTTTGTCCAATCTCAGCAATTCTATGATTTCATGTCTACAGCCTATAGAGCAAAAGGGGCATGTGAGGGACACTGTAGGACGATGG